ATATTAAAAAATGAATCTATTCAATCAGATATTAGCTTCTTTAAAGACCAATTTAATCACACAAACATACCACCCTTCAAAAACTACTGCAAGTTACTTTTCTTCTGTTAATATAGAAGATAGGTCTAGGTTTCTGACCGGGTCTGTAAGCTCTTATCTTGATAGGGAAAGCTGTAAAAACCAGGGCTGTTTTAGACTTCAGTATGTCCTCGATTTCAACACTTACATTGTATCCATAGACATATCCATTTGGTAACATCATAGGAGGATTATTTTCGTTCATTACATCCCCCGAAATCTTGCAGACTAGTCGGGAGTTGGCACAATGTGCCATAGGCAGAGGCTGAGCCAGCTTGTTCAGGGATTTGCTACACACAGGGCAGTCTGGGTTTTTTGAGCTCCCATCCTCTTTGTAACACTGTCTGTTTAACAGCAAGTTAAGGAACAGCCACTGCAGAGTGGAACAACAGTTACTGAATGACAAACATCGGTAAAAAGAGTAAACTCTGCAAACATAGCCTAGGTTACAGTGTGTACAGGACTATTTAATTCAAGTTTAATGTGTACAGGTAAGAATCAAGTACTTTGTTTCAAGGAACAAAAGTGAGCAACAAGTGTCTGGTAGCCTCTACAGGTACAGTTTCTGATGTAGAACACTTTAGTAGCGCCAGTCCTTCTCTAAAACACCACACTGTGTAACAAATCCAACTCAGTTTCAAAAGAGCCAGGGTATATTTGAATATTCACATAAAAACAGACAAGGTAAATTTGTGTATAAATACTTAAAAACAGTAATTCTGACCCAGCTCACTAACTTTTGTGGATATATTCACTAACTTAAGACACATGGCAAGACAGCCTAGTGTGCAAACACAATGTACATTTCACCTTAAACTTTTTGTCTGGGCTTTTTTTTTTAAGCCATAATGCCACTTACTATAATGTCCCCTTAATTTAATAGAGAACAACTCATACGCCATTTAAACAACTCATAAGCAAAATTTTCAAGTGTCACTTTTCCTCTGTGAGCTCTCTGAAAAGCATCCATAGAATGAAAAAAACCCCACAATGGTGTTTTGCACTCGACAGTAGTATCTGCATTAAAGGATACGGTGTTTTTATAGCTGAAAGGCCTGCCTGGAGTGTTATAGTAAAAACAGAATTGTTTCCCAGCTGATGTAGTCTGTAGTTATCATATCTAAACTGTTGGATCAGCATTCTCCATCGAGCAGGGTCCAAGAGATCCTGTTAAAAAACAACACAAGTTATTTTCAAGCTAATTGTCCCGGGGGGAGAAGCCTGGGAGTGGTAAATTGTGCAAAACTCAGTAGACTGAATCCATCACAAAATAAAAGCATACATGCTAATGCACAGTACGAGTGTACTTGTTTAGAAAGTACCTTTTAAAACTACTTCAATAGAAATACGCTTTAAATCAAGTATTACTTAAAATAGCTGGCATAACAATATTCAATCTCCCTCTGTCATCTACCAAATGTTCTAATTAAGGTATGTAAATCCTGGTAAGGCTGTTTCTTGCATTTAATTTTCTAGAACGCTGGCCTACTTATGGAGCAGCATTAGGATTGTGGAATGTTTGCTCTACAGCCTCTGAATCATTAACAGTGAAAAGCCAGATGTGTTGTTTACCTCAAGTCAGGCTAATTCTGCTGATACATCTTTGTAGTATATAATGTTTACAGAATTTTGTAAAAAGGTTTTAATTTGAAGAGCTGGCATAACCCCCGGTTAGAGAAAGCTTAGGTAAGCTACACATTTAAGGACAAAATTCTTGAATGTATCTTGTAATGCTGTGCCTTTTTAGGTTACAGAATTACTAAAAACCAGGGAGACTAGTTAAAGGAAGAACTAAACCCCACAGGTCAAGGATACACTAAAAGTAATGCTGTGAAAGAGTCATGAAAGAAGCAAAGACCCTTTTAAAACATACTCATGTTACCTATACAAGCAAAGACCTAATCCTTTCCTCTGCTAGCACCCCTTCTCCTCTGCATCCGTAACCTGCACCTTGGTCATGAGAAGCGGCACAGTTTATTTATCTTAGAAATACACTCGTATTATCAACTGTGCATGCTACACTTTGAGGCAACTAGGAGAAACAAGAATATGTTTTAGTATACTGTTTAGATCATAAAACAGGCTTCTAAAGAGAAATCAAAGACATAGTGGCAGACAATACACTGAGTAGCATCAAATTCAAAACATTGTACCGAATCCCCAGGCAGTGATTCTACCATGACATAGACACTAGTCTTCACGCTTTGCTCTGTACCACCTTGTCCCACTCTGTCTCTCCCAGGTTCCCTGCTCCTTCAAGCC